CTCGACAAGTATCATTTCAATATAACTTGTATTTACTGTTACTTACTATTCCCCTGATAATCCCACAGTTTCTACTATTTAACTTTCGGAACGCGTTGAGGGCAGACACGTTTTTCCAAAGCAACGAACTTCTCATTCCGCACACAGACAACGCGATCCAGACCGAGAGAAATATTTCGCAATCGTGCGGACCGACGGTTTGCTCTCGTTAGGATCGGGTTGACGTCACACGGCGAATTACCTGCCGACTGTTTACACAGCACCCGGACTTTCTGCACTGGCAGCGGCAACGTGAACGACATCGTAAAACGGTTTGTAATTTTAGATGAGGTTTACGTCTGCCAATTTCTCTGACTGACGGAACAGTACGAAATACATACAGAGAGTGATTGAATAAAGGCTGCCGAATTTCAGAAATAATAAGATTTCTATAGAAAAACAATTCAACCGATGAATTTTATTGAACATAAATATAAGTAAGTCTATAATAGCAGCAGAAGAAAAGAAACAAATATATAGTTTAACAAATTATATTAAAAATTGTATGAAATACTGTTTAGAGCAGTGGAATATTAAAAATTCTCTGTAATATCTCAACGAAGTTTGTCTCCGGAAGTTATACATATACATTTTGTAAAGTAATTAGTCTGTAAGTGTTTCATAGTATGCATAAAATAGAAGTTACCCATTGTATTAAACAACCAAGGATTATAATACTAAATATTAACAACTTGTACACACAAGTCATACATCATGCCTAATCGTAATGAAAATACTACTAATAATAATTTTATGTTTCATTACATATTACTGCAATCTGTGTTACCTTAAATTATTTTAAATTCCCATAAACACAGAAACATCTCCAGCCTACTTATTACATTTGAATAAATCAATTACCCTTTTAAATAATAAAATAAAAAATATCAAAATCTCCCTTAGCATCAGAATTTCCCATAACAATTTTCATAAGTACAGATGAAACAGTTCGACAGTGTGATATCAAATCCCCCATGCAACTGCGACAAAATTACGTGCAACGCATGTACGAGCTTCGTCATAAAACGAGAAGTAAACGACAATCGCATAAATTACCTCGCGTCAAATGACGCGAATTACGTTGGAAATTGCAGGGCGAAACGAGCGTTGTTCGCCAATTTCAAGATCGCGGAATTGGCAAACGTTTCGCGGCTCGGTCTCGAGGTATCGATTGCGTTTTCAGATAAAATAGATCCCGTATCCTTGAACCTTCGCGGGAAATGTCAGGGCCGTTCTCCGATTGATACCAGGGGGGTAATCGATGCGTACGGAAGAGTACTTTATGTTTACGCACCGATAAACTTACAGGAAATTACACTTTACCACATAATCGTTAGACTGCGGATTTTCATGCAAAATTACACATTCATTCATTAATTAAAAAAAAAATGTATATAATAAATGTACATAGATAGACATTTTTTTTTATCATTTACTCACTTCTGACATATTTAATATATTTATAAATGTTTCTGCACATTTTTGTGCGAAGACACATTTTGTGCAATTAAATCCGCAGACTAAATTAATGATGCATAATTTTATTCACCGATTACATCATGCAACGAGATCTAAGATCAATAGTGAAGTACTCGACGAACCTTTTTCAAGAGATAAAATGCTAAGCTAAAAGGTTTTATATCTTTCCTAGAAAACATATCGTTGGAAATATTTGTACTCACCATTTTGAGGGTTTCCTCTGGTCTTAGCAGGTAAAACATGGACTGCAAGTGCTGTTGGATGTCGCATCCTGCCGCGGAGACCTTCCTCGAGGGTCTGGCCCTTTCATGCGGGGGTAGAACTAGGGCGGCGCCCTTGCCCGCGAAGTAACATTCGCTTAGGCTGAAAAATAAAGAACAATCATTAGTAAACTAAGAAGAAATGTTATACTAAAAGCTTGTATAATTTTATAATCCTCCGATTATTTATTTACTTCATAAAAATCCACGTCATTATTAGTTTTTATCATAAGTCAAGGTAGATGAATCTTATATCTCGCTCATGATATGTTTCTCCCTCTTTCCCTCTGCGAATATAATGTGAAGGGCTAATAATAAAACCCAGGAACAGAGTCACGTGGTATAGCCTATGAAGTGGGAAACGAGCGCATGTATGTATAAACATGCGCCAATATAAAATAGACTCTGTTATGTACGTGCAAAACATAAAATTGTAAGTAATTACGTATATGCCATTAAAACTAGTAACTGTGAAATAAAATTACTACTAATACATTCCTCCCTATTGAGAATGATTGGTTTAAATCAGTTTGATTAAATATGAAACCAAAATTAATAGCCGCAGTTGGATTATAATTATATTTAAATTTAATATAAATTACTTAACAACATCCACTGCGAGTAGCACGTGTCATCGTGCGAGCGAAACCGGAAAGCTGCACTCTCATCGGTGGTACGCGAAGCGCACGTGGCATTCCACGTAAGCTTCCGGTAACGACGCGTGCTCGCGACACGGCGGCGCGTACAATGGGAAGAAGTTTCTCTTTCACGAGGCGAGGGTGGCGATTACACGTGTGTAACCGGAGAAAAGAGAAACCTGAAAAGCTATCCCCGGGTGCAACGTCGTCGACGCAGACGCGCGCCTCGCCACCTCTCTTTCACAATCTCCGTTATCGAGAGCTGTGACGATTACTTTCACGCGATAAGGGGACCAGCCGCCGTGACGGAGGGCAATTAACGTCGCCCGCGTTATTAGCAAAACTGGAGCGCGTTCAATTTCTCCGCGGTCATTTTCGAGATCCTTAACTCTCCTAAGTCACTGTCTCCCTAAAACTTCTTATGTCAGTAAAAATGTTATTTCCCATGTAAAGTCATTTATTCATTTTCATCTTCCGCTCATCTCTTCATTTTTTTTAATGTTTTCCTTGGGTCCTCTTTCATTAATTTTTCAAATTTCATTATTAATTTTTTTAAATATTTCTACCACTCCTGAGATAAATCACTATTATTAAGTTTGAAAATTAGATCCGTTTTTCATTATTTGAGTCGTATTAATTATGTATATCTAAATATGTAATATCTCTTAAGTATGTATTTAAAATGGTATGTTTATGTAATGAGAAGGGTGTGTCAGGTTATTATAAGTGGAATAAATATGTAATAATTGAGGATACTTTCACAGTAATGAAACTCGTTTTTATCCTTCGCAAGCGAGATTGGTTACTGAATATTGCATCCTTGTTCGAAACTTGATAGATGAGGATTTCGTGGAAACGACACGGAACCGTAATTTAGCTTATGGACGTTAGATTTCTGAACGGTCATTAATGAACTCGATCTTTTCGGTACAAGCACGGTTACCCTCCGGAGCGAGTCTGTCAGAGGAAGATTTATCGTGTGGAGCGCGTGGCGAATCTCGAAATTAATTATTTTTATGTATGTACCATCCTCTTTCAAGTGGTCTGATCGATGGTCGAGGAAAACTCTCGAATGCCAGTTTTTGGCAGTCATTTCCATAATTTCTTCTAATTTAATTACATAGTATTTTGTGATATTCATAAAATTGTCAGAGGTCAAACTTTATTACTTGTTAAAAACATATATCATTCTTTATTGTATTATACATCATGAATGCAATTCTGAGAATGTTAAAAATGCAATCTTTCTTCTTGAACAAGTTAAAATTCGAGTAATGTACATTACCTACAAGTGAATAGTAAAAAAGTACATACATGAGTTGTATAAAATAAACTTATGAAGAACACATTAACAGTTCTGAATAGAAAATCTCGAAATTAATTACTATTATTTAACACTAGAAAGACTGAAACTTAGTATATACCTATATTGCCCAAAGCAGTCAAAATGACTGCATTGTGAAAGAATAATGTGTAAAGAAATTTGTCTAAAATTAATTTTT